TATATATATATATAAATATGTGTGTGTATATATGTATATACATGCACACATATTTACTTACTCAAACATAAATGCAGAATTAAGTTACTGCTATAGTACAATTATGATTGATATCTCTCTGTCACAGTGCTTCTCAGCATGACATATGTTTTATTAACATAATATACTGAACCCAGTGAAGCGCTGCCCATCAGTTCTACGTTACCTGATCGTTAATGTCTTTAAAATGAAGAGGTTTTCATCGGATGAGAGCAGCAGCTATCTATGTTTTTTTGAACTGGCAGCAGACAGTCTGGCCGGCAGTGCACTGATGCAGCTGCTCAGTCTGCTGCGGAAGATCGTCCAACGCCCCAAAACGACCACCGAACTGTGTGCTGACCTTGTGAACGCAGCCTCAGAGCGCATCTCTTCACGGTTAAGTTGATAGATGGTGCAGCCAAAGGCTTCAGAGGTCCGACTGATTTGTACTCGCAAGGATGCCCTCCACTTTCAGCCAAGACTCACATGACTACTTTAGATTATTATTATATTATGAATAATGTTGCACAAAGAAATGCGTTTTCATTGACGTCCTTCGTGCTCCAAAAACAGTGATGGTAACAAAGTGATTCATTCATTCATTCATTCATTAGTGACAGTGAATGACAGCTGGCATTTTGTCACATAACATCTATATGTGAAATGAAGATGAAGACCTATGTTGACACAGAGATATTTGACAATTAATGCATTAATTGGGCTAATAAATCACCTCATTAGAAAACTATTGGATATGGATGGAGCTGTCATGATGATTATTGAAGCTGCTCATGTGAGACTGTTGGTGTTGGTTCTTATTCTGGTTCTTAAAACCTGAGGGCCACAACGGAAATGTGAAATGCTTTTTGTGCACCAATCTAAAGTGACTTAAGAGTCAAAGAACAGACACTACCCTCTTGTCTCTTAGTGGATGTCTGATTGATGATCTCTTATTTTTATTAAATGCACAAAATGTTATTTTCTGCCGCTAGGTGTGTCTCAAACAAAACGAGGACAAAAGAGTTTGTGACGTCGTGAAAGAGAGTGGCATCATGGGAGTTGTCGTCTTGTTTTTAGTCAGCGTCCACTAGCCAGGGTTCCTTCAGTGTTCATCGTCTCCTCCTCTCCAAAACAAACCGGTTATTAAAACTGGTTCCTCTGTTAATTTGGGATCCTGATCAGTTTCTCAGGTGCTGCCTTAAAAGTGTTTAAACCTTCAGATTTACCAAAAGCCTTTTCTCTATCTTTGTGTGATTTAAAATGTGTGTGTCCATTTCTTAAGAGGTCTGAGTTAATGTCTTGTGTCTGTCTGTGGTTGTGGTTAATGTATGTAGTTATTTATCTTTTAGTGGAGTCAGATGTTATCTCAAAATGTATATAACTTTGAAAGATGTAGCGAAATAAAGTTTTACAAAGTGAAAAGCTTGAACAGTTTGTGTTTGCCCGTTATTCTTCCAGGTCAGGTGTGTTGTACAGATCAGGACTGAGGAAAGGAAACGCATTCAATCTCCTTTACTCAGTCACCTGGAACAAGAACTCACCGCAGTCAATAGGGCAGAAATATAGATCTGTCTTTCTTTAGAAATCTCATAAAACGATTGAAAATCTTTCACTTTTTTCAATACAATCAACACAAAAGACACAAAAATGTAATTTTTGAGTTGCTGGGGTTTCAAAGCTGCTGAGATTACATAATTATTATTGTGTGAAGTATAGCTATCAGAAACTGGGCGGAAATTTCATTCCCCATTCTCTGTCACTCTTACCACTGAATCAACCATTAAATCGACATTATAACACATCAAAAGCACATTCGATCGACTGTTCAACTTTATTTGGATGGGATGACAGGATTTTCATCAATGTGTTTTGTTTTTTACCTTTTAAAGTGATTTTGTTCAGAATTGACAAAATCTGATTTTAACCATTTTTTAACACACACACATATTAGGGTTCAAACCTGGGTCCTTGTTTCTTACGCTTGGTTTAAACATTGATTCGATCTGCTCTGAGGAGCTGCATGGTACTGACAAAGAATGTTCTGTCTTTTAATCCAGCAAACATTTAACTTGCTCTTGCAAGTCCTTCGGATATTATTCAAACCTCGATGCCTTAAAATGTCTTTGGGTCTGGTCCGTGCTTGGTCTCTATTATAAATACCTCCCTGTGGTCTTGTTGTGTCCCAGCTCATTTTAAACATGCAGTAGTTCAGCCTCTCCTGGGGAGAAAAAAAACTAACCTTGATCCATTGCTTCTCAAAAATACAGGCCTATATCTGAGCTGCCTTTTATCTCCAAAATTTGATAGAAGTGTAGTTGAAACAGCTCACAGAATTCAACATTTTAGATGAATTCCAATCTGTTTTCCGTCAGAAGCGGTCCAATACGGGGCACCCTGGACTGGTTCTCCTCCTATATTTTTTCAGTGTTGCTTGTTCCTTACATGTCTGAAACGGCTGCTCTTTCCTGTGGTGTGCCTCAGGGTTCTGTCTTGGGTCCTATATTATTTGCTTTGTAAATGTTTCCTTCAGGTCGTATTATTAGCACATTATCACATTAAGTTATCTGTTTCCAATGTTATGTCGATGATTAAGGACTGGACGGCGAACAACTTTGTGCAGCTTAACACAGATAAGACTGAGGTTTTTATTGCCTCAGAAAGTATGCCCTCCAATGTTAGTCAATGTATTGGGTCTCTTTCTTCTGCTGTACAGGCAAATCATAGAAATACGTATATTGATTCTATTTGACCAGTCTATTCATTTTAGTCAGCATATCACATTATTTTACATACATCGTCAACACTCAGGTCTTTTGTATCACTACCTGAACTAGAGATGAAAAGTCACCTCTTTATATCATCCCGGCTGGACAACGATTCCCTTTTCACTTGTCTCAGCAAGTTGATTCTGAACCATCTCCAAATGTACCAGAACTCTGACTCACATCACACCCATCTTATCCTCTTTACATTGGCTTCCCATCAAGTTTAACTTTAACTTTAAGGTTTTACTTTCCACCCACAGAGCCCTGCTGACCAGGAACCTCTGTGCATATCTGACCTGCTCCATCTTCATATCCCCAAAAGGTCTCTAAGGCCTCCTGACCAGGGCTTAGCGGTTATCCCTTGAGCTCGACTGAACACTAGCACTGACCGTGCTTTTGAAGTGGTCTGACATTATGGAATGCTCCTTTTATAGGCATTCGATCCACAGTCTCTGTTGCCCCCCCCCTCCTGTGCTGGTACTCCTATCTGCTTCAAACTGGGGATGTGCCGACCACCATCCACTGCAGCTAACACACTGACTTAATACACCGCCTATGGAAAAGTACCTCATACAACCCCACTTCAAAGTCCTTAATTACTTTTTATCTCGTGTTATTTTGTTAGAGTCGGTGTCACTTCTTCTGGACGTCTCATGTTGAAAGGACTGTCACTTTTAGGCATTTAGTTAGTGCTCCTCCGCAGACTATTTACAGGATTTAAAATGACGGCGATCTCATTGTGCAAGAAAACTTCTCTCTCACCTGTTTTGCATGAACTCTACAGAAGTAATTATAGTGATTGAACACCAGTGTGATTGTACAGCACGAATGACATCTCAGTTATTTCGATCGGACAAAAAAAATCCCATTATAAGCCTCACTTCTGATCGTTTCCTACAGTCTTTGTTATAACTCTAGGACAGAAAGTGTGCCTCGTGTGCTTGGACACTCAATGATTTACAGGATGACATCTCTTGAGCAACGAGAGGACAAACGGAGGACAGATGATCATCGCAGGTCTGGATCACTGTGATGCTTGCTTCCTTTGTTATGTGTCTGCAGGCACAAACCATTCTGTGCCTTTCAGGGTTTCTTTTTGTTTGACTTAGTTGTGACAGATATGGTTATACTTCTGTCTCAACTACACACAACTCCACTTTACACATCCACATGAAGTCACTAAAGCATGTTGCTTTCAAGAACTTCTTCTACTATGCAGCATTTATTCATCATCTGTATTTTGATGTCTTTGAAATGTAATTTACAAAAAAACGCACCGCTTGCCACTGACTTAATGAAACAAAGACATAAAAGCCAAAGACACACAGAGATCCTCCAAAAGGCAGCGGCACTTCTGTGCCTCCAGACGAGGAAGAAGTCTACATGGTTTCATGAATGAGCCTGAACTGGTGATAAGAACAGTTTAAGTTTTAGTGGAATTGATAAACTACCAGAAAAACTATCACAGCTCTGTAAAGAAAACCTCTGACCTTCACCCTGCCGCTTGAAAAAGAGGTGCCATGTTATTGTTCACAGCGTTTTAAAAATGCTTTTCTATGTTTGTGAGGGACCAATATGTGATCTTGAGTGTTAGGAAATCTTTTTCTGGCACTAGCCATGTTAATCACAAGACGAGTACAGATCTGTGTGCATATGTGTGTTTCTGTGTCCACTTTTGCAACACACTGTTGAACAGAACAGCACCAAGAAGAATCTGTTTCCCAGAATATATATATTTAACACACGAACAAAGCTTCATACATACTATACATACATACAGCCCTACATTCATACCAATACATATCGGTTTATTGGCTTTTTTATTTTATTAAAAAAAGCAATTTTGATATATTATGACTTTGTATACTGTGTTATACTGTTAGGGCTAGGTCACTGTTAAGAAGCATGCACCTTCTTTTGGTTGTGTTCAGATCAAGTGCGACGCCAATGAGTCCGAGTGCGACGCCTCAGGTAACTCTGAGTGTCTCATTTGAATCAACGAGGGTTCAGACAAGCTGTCAATCAAATCGAACAGTTCTCTGTGACCATGTAACGTCCATGATCCTGCAAGATGTTTTGTATGTGACACGCTACACCCGAACCAAACCGCCCAGAATTGTCTGCAAACACTGTTTGACCTTGTTGTGTCCATATTTATTGTATTGCACTGCTACTGATTTTTAACACGGCCCTTTCATTCCTCTTCTTGTTTGTCCTTTTTCTTCCTTTTTTTTTTTTGTTTTTTGTGTGTTTTGAGGATTCCACATTTCCCGGAGTAGCTTCGGGGGGCTTCTTGGCATTTAGTTTGTGTTCGTTACATCCCACGTTTTCGCCTGAAAAAGTCCCCTTTCCTCTGACTCAAAGTGGGTATATAGTCGGGAGGAGGTTGGGGTCGTGGGATAGAATAGCTTGATTGATTATTGATGTATTTATTTCCAGTTTTTGTCAGGCCAAATGATTCAGTTTGTTGCAACATGAACAACAGAGCCCCTCGTCCGCCTATTCGTCCTACTCTTCTAGTGATTGGACGGTGCAGGGCGTGACTTGAAAGGGCATCCTCCCGCCGACGGATTCGACCATCTGTGCTGGCAGTCCTGGGCTTGAGCCTCTGGTCGAGGGGACCTCCTCCCTCAGCGGGGACGGAGTCAAGGAGCACGGCTCCGGCTCCAAGGTTAATGTTACCTCGTCTACCTGTGAAGACAGGAAATGAGGAATTTAAAAGAAAGGTTTGAGATGCTGCAATTCAGCTGTGCCAGGAGAAAATACGGCTCTGTTTTATTGGGCAAGTGTTTGTATGTTTCCTCACTTATATATATATATATATATATATATATATATATATATATATATATATGGACGTAGATGGACTGGTAAATCGAGAGCTTTGCCTTCCGACTCAGCTCCCTCTTCACTACAACGTAAAATTCCCCAGGATACTTGAACTCCTCGCTTGGGGCAGTGACTCTCATCCACTGTCTTCATTTTAATCTAACCTCATTGAATCATCAGGTTTTTTTAGGACTCTGGGACTGCGGCAGAAGCCAAAATCCAGGGATTGTGGCTGTTCCAGTTGAGAGAACTCACCTTTGTCAGCTCCTCGTCTTCCTCTTCGTGCCGTTCAGGGAAGCCTTCATACTCGAGCTCCGGCTCCTCTCCGACTGTCTCCACCACGCCTCCGACCATGTCAGCCAGCTGCCCATTCATCTGCCCGACAATGTCCACCTGCAACCAGTTAAGTTTACTGATTCAATTGCTTGCTTGTTTCTGTTGCACCCACTTTGAACTGTAAGAAGATGCAACAGGTTACTGGCATTTTAACACGTGTTAGTTCACACACTGACAATAAATCCTTCAGGTTTACTTCCTGGTAACAGTCACAGAAAGAAAGAAACAGAGACAAAAGTCAGGAGGGAAGGAGGTTGGAAGAGCAGAATATGAGCTCCCATGTCCTGACCCCAATGCAGGACATCGGAGAGACGAGACAAATACGTAGGAAGGTACAACAGACACAGATGCTGAATCCAAATGCTTAGAGTTGTAAACTTGCGGACTTAACAGCATGCTACTTTGAAGACCAGGCATTTTTTAAGGGTGTCCTTTGTCAAAAATCCATCGGGTCCGCTAGAGGCTGTCATGCAGACTTTTGGCAGTGCTCCATGCAGACATTCAGCCTGTTTCCTACCTTGCTGACTTCCCTGGCAGTCTCTCCCATCATTCATTGCACTACAGCTGTGTGCTAAATATGCCTGCTGATATAAACAAATCCAGATCCAGAAAACAAAAAAAAACAAATTAGCAAAGAAGAGTGTCAAACATGATGCAAGAAGACTAAAAGGGCTATTCCTGTGCACAACATTAACATCTATGATGAGTGCACTCTTTCCACCTTTTGAAGACAGGTGCCTGAGGAACGACATCAAAGAAGCTAAAACCTCGGCTTCCTACAATAACAACAGTGTTAAATGCGTACCAAGACATGCCGTGATTCGTTATGTAACTGTTAGCCGGCTTCATTCTGCAACAATGACTGAATGGAGATGCCTGTCCTGCTTGCCTACGTCTGTACATACAGTCTCACGCGCCCCTGTTGCCCTTTGCGAACTTCGACCGAATATATTAAACCACCATCTAGTCCGCGGAGTCTGTAATCCGACCATTTGGATTCAGCAGGGGAGTGCCTACGTGGTGTGGCTCGACCTGCGCGGCTCCCCACAGGTCAGCCAGCCGAGGGTGGGTGGGAGGACCGAGACTGTGGATGGTGCTGTTGGGAGTGGCTTGGAGGGAATGGGAGGCGCTATGTAGCCTGTGCTCCATAGACTGTAGTCAGAGATAGGAAAGGAAGAAAAGACAATTAATGAGATTTGACTGTAAAATAAGCTTGGCCGGTGGCCGCATCTCTTGATTTAAAAAAAACTTGTCTTGTCTTTGTCTTTTGGAATGAAGATATGGCCACCCACTAGAGATTTAAAACACGCCAAAGCCCCGCAGCTACTGACATTTTAAGCTTCTTCAGAAATAGACAACAATGCTACATGACAACACATTTCAGCTAGAAAGGTTAGTTAGCCTCGTTATGCCAAAACAAATGACAGTCTTTGCCAGGGACTTGTTGAGGATACTTTTGTAATGTTTTTTTTACTTCCTTCTAGTCACTAATAACGGTATCTACTTGTAATACCCTTTAAAGGATTCAGGGAATGTGGGGAGATGTCTCAGGCTCTTATGCTCACAAAATTGACTGACTGATTGAAAAGCTTTATTATATTGTAATGTAACATATTCAATGGTCTCCTTCTGAAGAGAACCCCATAATAATACACACAGCAACGCTAACGAGCTCATTTCTATTGTGATCTCGGATCAGTACACCTTTTCTAAGACACACTCCCTGACCTTTTCAAGTTATTATTTCATAACCCTCAGTCTCTTAATGAGCTCTGAGATGTACCAATGCTAGAGCCGTCGGCGAAGCAGAACGAGTCTTTGGGGCCACAGTTCATCGTGACTCACTACATTTGCAGAAAACCCCCAAAAAAGCCACACAGCCGGCACAACCAACCAGTTTACAGGATCCGAAGTAAAGAAGCTTGTTCTTTCATTTTATTGTTTACTCAAGAAGGAGCAAAATACATTGTGTGTATACAGCATGTGTTACCAACAGCCGAGACACGAGTCCCAGCAACCCTGCGTCCGACAAATTACTTTTTACACTGAACAACTGATTTAATAGAGCTGTGCTTAAGATCTAGTGGCTACTTCTAGCGATACGGTTGCAAATTGCAACCAACTGAATTGAATACCCCCTCGGTTCACCACTCCTTTTTCAAAGGCCCTCTCTAGTGCCAGCGTTTGGTTTGTCCGTTCTGGGCTACTGTAGAAACATGGCAAAGCAACATGTCGTAGTCCATGAAGAGGACCCGCTCTCTATGTAGATATAAATGTCTCATTCTAAGCTAACAAAGAAAACACAACAATACTTGGTTTCAGATGATTACACATAGAAATAGAACATGAGTAGAACGGACATTGAGCTGTCCGCCACTCTGACCATCCTGCTACTTTGATTTGAATGGGAGTGTACGTGCTACTCCCGTTCTATGAATTATACATTAATGAATACATAGCTATGAATGCTGTATTCCATTTCTGCCGATAGATCCCCAGAAGTCCCACTCGCAGCTCTATAAAGTTGGCCAATACATTTAGAAGGAAACCTGATTCTGATTTTAACTTTTTCAGTCGAACAAGATGTTTCCCCTAACCTCCCCTAGCTTTGAGTTCCCTACATACAACCATTAAAACCTCAATCATGCATCATCGGCCAGTCACTTCCCCACTGCTCCCTGCAACACCGTCCCCGACTCCTCATTTACAGGATTTATTACAAGAAGAACATTACTAGTGTCTAGAAGAAAGACTGCTAAATTGCTAAATGCTGGTAGAATATAACTGCTTTGTTATTTGTGTTGGAATGACGATTCCTAGCTGGAATGAGTTGTGATGCAGTAGATCACTTTAGCATTGTTGTCCCCAACTAAGGAAGCTGAAAAAGCACAGCAATGCTTTCAGCCAAATGCTAACATGATGTTTACGATGTCCACCATCTTAGTTTAGCATGTTAGCATTATTAGCAGTACGAGTCGGCTTGATTGCCATTAGTTTTAAAAGGTATTTGGGCATAAACTGACAAAATGTTACCAAAGTTAATGGCAATTGCTGTTGAGGCATTTAATTAAAAACTGCAAATATGATAGTCATTGTGATGAAAGGGCAGGTTCATCAGAGTCAAATTAGAGTACATCATCTCAGAACCATGCATATCAGATGTTGACATATTATTCTGTACAAAATGTCAATCCATCTAAAAGTTGTGATGCTTAAATCTGGAATTAAGTGGTTCAAACAATAAATACATGAGCCATGCGCGGTTTATTTTGTGATGTATCCGCTGATGCAAGTTGGTGCTGAGTAGCAGCACTACTGACCTTTTACTTAAGTTTATGTTTTTTCTCTTATTATATGTATGCAGCAGTGCTAGTATTCTAGTACTAGTGACATTTGGTTCAGCTGTTGTTGCTGGTCGACCTGATGCCGGAGTCGTTGGTAACACGCTTCATAGGTGGACAGTTTTAGTACCACTCACCTGTTGTTGTTGGAACTGCAGCAGCTGTTGCTGGTACTGGTGAATATGTTGGAGCTGATGGAGCTGGCTCTGCTGCTGCAGGGTGAAATGAGCGTGGTGCTGCTGCTGAAGGTAACCGCCTACCGTCCCCTCGAACCCCTCACCAGGTGTACCCGGCGCTCCGCTGCCACCTGTAACACCCAGAAAAACACTTAGTGCTCAGAGACACAGTCTGGTGTTTGGAGGCAGTCTTAGAGAGAAGGTCAAATTCTCACCGGCAGCCATGATGTAGGAGCTCGCAGCAGGTGAGACCACGTCCGAGGGCTGGCTGGTGATTGGCTCCCAGGCGTCGGATGACGACAGGCAGTACAGGCCCTGTGAGACGTAGGTGTGAGGCCAGACGTCCGCCGAGGAGTGGTGGAGCACCTGGTCTGTACGGGGAAATGCAGACAGGTGGCGTGAGTGAGACAAAGGAGAACAGTAACACAGGGAAAGAAAACCAAGAACAAAGAGAAAGAGAAGAGAGATGGATTCCCACAAACAATAACTTATGAATTACTTTGCTCACTTATAGATTTAATGTGCTTCCTGTTGAGTTAAAGTTATGGTTCAAGGATTCAAAATTGGTCTTTTTTTATTACTTTAGATAAAATAATTAGAGCCGTCAGCCATTACAGAAGTGAAAAGATTTGAGCAAATTAAGAAAATTTAGAAAAGACATAAAATATACTGTTATAGAGCTTTGGGCAGGTTTGGGATAAAAGCATTAGACCGTATAAAGAAGAGACTTAAATCCAACTTCTGACCCTGAGTTGTTGATTCAGTCCTTAGTTGCTCTCATGAAGCCAAACACAGGGACAAACCTGCCCTCATGCAAAAGCAAAATACTTTAATAACTCCTATAGAAGTATGATTAGCTCATCTGCAAGCAGTGTTGTTATCATGGAGCACAGCCATGCAGGCCGAACACTCACATAGAGAAGAAACATTCCCTCAGTCCTAATGCTGCTGTTTTAATCGCCACTGTGTGTGTGTGTGTGTGTGTGTGTGTGTGTGTGTGTGTGTCAACTGTACATGTGTGCTGCATGCTGGATCAAGCACAGTACAGAGCCCACATGGTGCTGTTAATGAGAGCATGGCTAAGTCCTTGTGCTAACCTACAGGGCCACTCGGGGTTTGGACGGCGCTCTGCTTTGCACGGCGCCACGAATCAAATGCACTTCGTCAGATGTTTGAACAGCCAGAAAGACAGAATAGTTTGTTTTGTTTAGGTCTTTCTGAAGTGATCCGGCCTTTCCTGTGAGGTCGGGTGGGGTTTCCTAATCTTGCCTGAGTAAACTGCTCTCTCCCCTTCCTTTCCTTGCGTTTATCATCCTATGTGCAGCTAAACTGAGCAGACATCTTACCACCTGAGGCTCAAACCACAATTTGGGATATGATGTTGTTTCCCCAAGCTCTTTGTTTTGTTCATTCAAGTGTGTCGCACAAATCTTGATAACGCAGTTCATTTCCTTATTTCAATACAACTCGTCTTTTGGGATTTTTAGAATTCTCTTACTCTAGCCCCCCTCGTGACTCTCCATCACAATGTGTTCAGATGTTTCAGAAATGACAGGCTGTCGTCTGGATTTGTCATTCGGAAAGTTTTTTGAGTAAGTGCCCGATAGCAGTGAAAGGCAGAAATGTGCAGCTGTGTGGCTGCCCTCCAAAAGTCCTTTACAGCTGGTCGGCAGAATAACTGACATGGCTGTTTTTAGTTTCCAGCAGGGCTCTTAATTTTTCCCCAAAATGTGCATCTCTGCACAATAACAAATGTAATACTTTACTGTGTGGTCCAAATACATGTGATTGAGTGTGAGGAGTGTTTAGAGCTATGACACTGTAAGTCAAATACCGTATCTGTCGCATGTACAATCCAACTACACGAATCACAGTATCAGATGCTTGCAATGGTTCCACACTATGTGCCAACGAGCTAGAAGCACTCAGAGCCTGACTCTTGTAGTCGTGCCCAGTAGCCATTTGCAGAAAGTTTTAAGCTGCGGTACCTCTGCTGGTGATGCTCTCCTGGTTGACCTCACTGAGGTGAGCGACGCTGCCCTGGTTGGAGCCGGCTCCCATACTCTCCCCATCCATCGAGGTCCAGCCAAACAGAGTCGCCTCAGAGATGGCAAACTGCTGCATGATGCCTAATGAGGGAGAGCAGTAACAATGGGGAGAGCTTTTAACTCACTGCAACACAATTAGAGATACGGTTCCTCAAACAAATCCCCAGTCCCAGCTTTGCTAACACACACACACACACACACACACACAAGTTAATTAGTAGCGGAGGAGAAAATACAAAGTGTTTAGTCCAAGCAGGGATTCTGTAAATGTTGCAGACAAATATATGTGTAGAAACAACAAATCACAAATTATTAATTCAACTTTGCCAGATGTACCAGATGGGCCAGAACCAATTCGATTTTCCAGAATTCAGTGAAGAAACATGGTGCACCAGTGGGTAGCAAAAATGAATATGTTGTTATTAATTTACGTAAGTTATGTTGCATTGTTGCGTTATTACGTTGCGTTGTTACTTTGCGTTGTTACGTTACGTTACGTTGTTACGTTGCATTGTTACGTTGCGTTGTTACGTTGCGTTGTTACGTTGCGTTGATACGTTACGTTACGTTGTTACGTTGCATTGTTACGTTGCGTTGTTACGTTGCGTTGTTACGTTGCGTTGATACGTTACGTTGTTACGTTATTATTTTGACACAAACCATTCTGGATATTCTAACCTTAACCACGTAGTTGTGTTGGCTACACAATGTTAACCATGTGACATGTTTCTGTAGGCTGATATGAAACGTATTCATGAAACATAGTTTTGGTGGCGAAACGTCAACAATCAACGTATCAAGTGGTTGGCAGAACAAAAGTTGTCTTTTTCACAATTAATGTAGTATTTTTAAGTATTTTGTAGTATTTTATTTTAGTTTTTTATCTTTTTAACAATCTGAAATGTCAAAGACGCTTTTCAAACCACGCAGATGAACTCAACAGGACTTGTTTTTCTTCTGGTTCTATATGTTGTGTTTATACCTTTCTGACAGCGCATCATGTGCACACTCAGATGTTCCCTCACCTGCAGCAAAGCGAGCCTCCTTTTCGCCGTCGCTCAGGTCGCTGTAAGCGTCGTTCTCCATCCTCCTCTCCTTTTCCCTCTGCAGGTTGTTAAGTCCCGCGCTCCCCGGCGGCCCCGCAGTTGGTTTGCCCCAGCTCTGCCACTCGATCATGTGGGCAACGCGACCCTGGGCCATGGCGGTGGGCTTGGTCACTTTGTCCTTCATGGAACGAGACACACCTACAACAGGTATGGGGGCGGAGCAGGAAGGCCACATTCACACACGCACACACACACACACACACCAGACACACACACAACACTGTCAGAACTACTTCTGGCCTCTGTGGTTGATGACGCCTCCAACTGAGGCTCAGGGGGGGAAAGTAGAATGATAATGAGAAACTGTGTAATGTTGTCGGGAAACTGTTTGATACATGAGACTGTAATAAATAATGCCAGTGGGGTAAGAGAGTGACTCGGCATGAGAACAAGACCTTGCAGCTAGTTTGCATTAATATTATTTTAAGATACATTTTGTAGTCTGTAAGGATTGTAAAAATTAATTTGCACATTTTATTAATTTTTGTTTGTCTTTATGTAGGTTTGTTGAGCACAGTTCGTCTATTTTTTAGCAACGATGTGCTTCGTTCTCACACTTTCACATCTGCTCCGTACAACCTCTGTCTGGCTTAATGAGCCCTCTCCAGCTGGGGTAGTCGGGGGTTCAAACGCGTAATGCCTCGGGAACACAATCGTGGGGTGAATATGTATCTGTTTGGAACAAACCGGCCTCTACCCTTTAAACCGCTGCTGCTTTCAAACGTCCGTCAGTGGAGTTAAGCCCCAGAATATCTACCAGCCACATGCTCATCAACCTCAGTAAAAAGCTTTTAAATATGTCGCTTTTCCTAATAATCTAAATGAGTCTGACAGTCACCTCTCACCATCTATGATAATGATGCATGTGACGAGGGATGAGTTCCTGGAACTCAACACATTTACTGTGAAAATGAATAATTAGGAGAATTGTCTGCCGGCCACTCAGCATTCAAACAAAGATGTCTTTTTGAGTTCAACGTATGAACCTCGCTGGGATTGAATTAGCTAAAAGTGTAAAATATTCTGATGACTATTTGAGTGAAGATCCTATGAGTAATTCTTGAATAATCAAATAAATTACTGGAGGAATCTGCTCTATAATAATGCAGACCTTTGCTGAACAGGTCAGAGGTCAGGTGACTCGAGCTCACCATAGTGACAAATTGGACAGGGCTGCCTGTGTGCTCGTTATAGTTTGTTGAATGGAACAGCGAGGGACAAGGATGACTGCTGAAATGCTGAAGAGACCCATATTAATAATTAAAGCCATTACTCATCTCTTGGTAAACAGAATAAATGAGATTCATTAGACTTTCTGTAATTAAAAACGTGTTGCAGAGACTGAGAGAGGCAGAGGAAAGTAATCCTTGGGTGTACACAGAACGTTGAGACGGGTCCACTGGCAAATCTCAGCCCAATTAAGATGCAAATACAGGATTCAAACCAGGGACATGTACTCTGAGTCAAACGCTTACAGAGAGGCTGATCGATAAAAAAATGAAATTAAAATCAAACGGGCATGAATTAACAGAGACGGAGCTTCGGCAAATTGCTCCCCCGGTCCAGGGGGGCAACTTACAGGCTGAGTTATAAATAGAAACAGTTTTCCCCATCAAACACTCCCTGCAGAGACTAATTGGGGATGGAAATAGGAATGGAGAGAATGGGGATGAGGGACGGTGTTGGGGCCTCGGCTATTCAAAGGCTCAAAAAGATCATGTTAAATTATACCAACAGATTTATTTAAAGTGCACCAGACACGAGACAAAACAAACAGTCTTTACACAGACGCACTTGAGGTGCTACACTTAAACACTACAAAGCACAGAGCACCACAGTTTGAAGCACAAAGCACGAGACGGCACACAAGAGGCTCCGGCCACTCGAAGTCACGACACGGCACAAATAAGTCACTTCTTCACAAATATACCGCGCCACAACACCACCACCACCACCACCACGTTACAAATACACTACATTTCCCAACACACCTGTGGAGATGCTTCAGTAGGTAATTAAAGTAAGTAATCTCACTTACTTTAGTTTCTTTGAAATCAAAGATCTGATTAGATTTCCATCAATGACTCCGCAAAATGTGTCATTGACGTCTGCTGTTGATATCAATGGAAAGAAGGGAAAGTAGGAAGTGATATAGGAAGGGGGCACCCACAGGGGTGACCATGTTGGCTCCAAGCTCCTCCTCTTCCTCCTCCTCCTCCTCCTGCTGCTCTAGAGTGAAGTTGTCTGTTGAGGCAAGGTTTGATTTACAAAATCCACCGTTTATGGGAAAGGTGTCAAGATCACTCCTGTTTTTTTTCCCAAATGTGTCAGATGATTTTTTTGGGGCTGCAAGCAGTGCAGGAACCAAGTGAAAGGACAGGACAGGCAGAATGGAGGTTTTTTTTCGTACAAACAAATCTCAAAGCAAGAGCTGCTCTAGCTGCAAAAACAAAAGATTAAATGTAGGTGGCAGTTTTGGCATCCTATAGCATAGAAGTTTAGTCATGAAATGGAAACATCACTGGTTTTAGTCTCTCTCCCCACATTTCCTGTTAGCTGTCTGATGTCTAAAGGGATGAAATATCCCCAAAAATACACAAAATCCTGACTAATCCCCGCTAGATAAAGATTTCATATTCAATTGTGATCTAGGCTTTCATGATGTTGTGATATGTTGGGATAGCTGTTCTATTTGAAGCATGAATGGTAACTGACCCAGCTCATTTTTATTGCTAGGTTTTTGGGGGGTTTTAGCAAGAGCAGAAGGCTCCATAATACCCTCGCTTTACTTCTTTTTACTTTGTTTGTCAGGCTACTCAGTTGGTGTTCACCAGAAAAGAAAAAGCACGACATTAATAACCACAAGCTTGTCTGATGGTGTGGGCATGTTGCTTTCTAGCCTGAACCGTATTTATGTTTTCTTTGACGTATCACTAATACATTCCTAATCAAAGTGAAGGAAAGAGATCGGCTATCGGGATGTATTGGTCAAACAAACACGGGACTTTCACCCAGGAGACTGCTGTCCGTGTCCCGTGTGAAACCACTTTCGTATTAGTCACAAACTTAATAACTTGAATAATGTAACTTAACTTGAATAACAAACTTATTTATTTTAACCCACACCATCTTTTACTGGACCTAGCCAAGTAGTTTTCTTGCATAAACATAACAAAGTGATTTTGTTTCGATTCAAATCGTAATCCAGGAGAAAAAAAGTTTCTCTCGAGACGTAAGTAAGAATGAAGTTTCGCTGAATGGGAACTTCATTTTTAGGAAACAGGGTCGTGCTTTTGTTACCCGGTGGCTCAATTGAATACAGTCCAGGATGGTCTGTTTGTGTAATAAATCAATTAGTTTTCATGCTAATGAGAAGGGACAACACTGCACAATGCACAGCACGAACTGTGTGTCTGGAGAGTGATCTACCCGCTATGTGCCCATATTTAAAGCACAGTGTGTTGCTGGATGAAAACTGCGGCACAATTGATCCAGATTAAAACTCTTTCTTTGTTTTTTTAAACTCCATTCTGCAAAGTGGAATGAATGGTTTGGTCATACAGACTTCAACCCAGCTAAGCTAATGCTAAATGACAATTTCAAACATGATCATACTGATTAGTTGAACTTGGTTTATACGCCCCATTTACTCTCGTTGGGAGTAAATGGACCCAAACCACACTTTGATCATCCGGCTGCTGCGCGACTCTGGCGCCATATAACCGTCTGAATCAGAAAGAAGAAAACAGAAATGATCTTTTACACAACAAGGGGAAAGTTTGACCCCCGTCACCTCTCAACAACAACTTCACCCTGGATCCTCCGTGGAGCACGTGGAGGCAACATGGGGGCTGTTTTACCATCTAGCAGCACAGACACACACCTGACACACCTGTCAGAGAGGACTTAGCCAGGGCACCGATCCCATAGGCCTGGGGGGGCTTCCTCTTGAGGCGAGGCAGAATGGAAGTAGTGTCCTCCATGGACGACTGAAGACAGAGAGAGAGAGAGAGAGAGAGAGAGAGAGAGAGAGGTGGAGCAGAGAGGATGGACAGGAAAATAAAAGAATGAAAGAGGAGAAAAGATGTAGATGAAAGGAAATAAAGATGCAATGTGACAGGAAAAGTGACAAAATAAGTTAAGATGAGAGAGAAAGATGAATGCAGGAACGATAAATAGAATAAAAGAAATCGAGGTGAAGAGAGCAGATGATTGAAGATTCAGAAGATGGTTCGAGGAAGAAGAGAAGGGAGGTTGGGTAATAGAGGGAATAAGAAAGGAGGGTTAATTATTCAAACACCTTGTGAATGCCTTACAGGGATAATTGCTTGAAAAGAACAGAATCACATATATATGTGTGTGTGTGTGTGTGTGTGTGTGTGTGTGTGTAAAAGAAAAATGGATGCTTAAGTGGTGATTCAAAAGCAATTTAAACGGACAACAGAGAGTCTTTGGTGAGCCCAGCAGCTTATAATCGGTTGGTTGCTGATATGGAACAGATACTGATAGATATACAGTCGTACTTTAACTGGCAGGATTTAAATACATGCAGCACAAAGATTAGATAAACAGTGGAAAAGATGTATTTATTCAGACAGGAATGTTCGAGCAGGTTTTCATGCGATAATTTGAGCTTATGTTGGAGGCTTAAACCCGTGTTCTCTAGTTCAACACACGTCCTCCCTCTCTCGCCAGACAAAGAGGAGAGCGCTCACGGCAAACCAACAAGCAAACGAATGAACACAGAGACAGAGCCCGGCTCCTAATGAGGTCCTCCCAACAGCTAATTACACTGTGTGGTAGATGTGACGTCCTTTTGAGTTTAAGTGCTTCTGCATTACTGCATGATATTATCTGGTCCCTCTGTGGTGTACGTACTAGTGGAGTACCAGCCATGCGTTATTCTATCTGCTCTAAACCCTTTGCATGTACTAGTAACATTATGTGGTGTATTAATACAGCAGCCTGTTAATCTGCAGCTATACAGATGTAGTTAGAAATCCATGATCAAGCATTTCCTCTCCATTAGTCTCGTGTCCACTGGAAGCTTGTTCGTCCTCAAACGCTATAAATCAGAATTGAACACATATTTAGTTCCAGCTCTGCAGAGTCACACTCGTGTGACAAACAACATCTGGAGATGTGCAGCAGCATCGTGTGCTCTCATCAACTCAAATCAGTTGTTAAAAGCTGCTGTTTTCATGACACGGTCTCACTCCCGACAGTGGCCCTCAGCTTCAAACTATTTCTTTGTTTTTTCATTCATCTTTTATATAAAATAATATTATTTATCCAGGGGAATCCCTTCGAAATTTAGAATCCCTCTTACAAGTGTTTCCTGGATAAGATGGGAGCGTAACACAGAAAACTGACTCAAAAACAAAACGGTGATAGTTAAAAACAACATAAAAACATAAAACAAAACCAAAAATCACCTAAAAGAGACTTAAAACAAGAGTGTCAACTTTTGACGTGTCGGGCACGGCATGTCATTTTCTGCTTTTTGAGCATTTTGTCCTTTCAAAATAAACTTTTGTGTTCACAGGAAGCGTAAAGTTTCCACTTGTTACGTGCATAAACTTCTGACGTGATGTACTTAGTTGTTAGGTTAACTTGGTCAGGTATAAGCTCTTGTTTTGGGTTAAAATAAGAATGTTTGTCAGCAAAAAAATAAGTAAGCTGCTTACGTAACTTCCAGACGAACGTTAAGTTTACAAGGTAAGTAACAAAAGTGAGGTAAAGTAGGTCAACTTTGTCTCTGTTTCACGCAGGACACTAACAGCGGTCTCCTGGGTGAAAGTCCCTGTTTGTTTGACCTCACCGTCCCCCTGACATCCTCCGAAGCAGAGTTTCTTGCTCATTATGACAATGACACACTAACAAGCTATTGACTGTTATTGTATTACAGGAGGAAGCCTTCACGTGGTTAAAGGGAGGATGTATGTCTCTAGGTTTACATCTATGTGTCTATTTCATCCAGTGTTGAGGTATAGATGGGGATAGAAACTCCTCAATGAAACTAACAATGTAGACTTGGTTCACCTGGTGAGAAAAACAAACGCTCCCTTTGGGTCAGCAAGGTCTTTGTGTACAAGAAACACTTTCTGTGTGAGTTTATTTACTTCTGGGCATATTTGAGTCAACAAAAACATTAACATTGTGCAGATGAATTGTGCTGAAGGTGCAGAAACAGTTGAGTGGTGATGCACTTCATCATGCGGTGCTTTCAGTTAAAACTGGGACTTGAATGAAGGCTTCAGCTGTGGATAAGATAAGCTTATTACAGCCTGTTATCTGTCTCTTTGTGTATATATATATATATATATACACACACAGTATACGAGGCTTGCCGTACAGTAGATTAGCAGAGGGCCAAGAGAGGAGACGCATGGGAGGGACAGAAAAGAACAAACTGTGGGATAAGAGAGAGATAAGAGAGAGACGGAGAGTGGCAGGAAGTGGTGGGAGGATAAACCAGTAGGATGTCAACGCATGTACTCAAAGACCAAACTCAGGTAGTGGGTGAGTGATGGAGGGGGAGAAGGAGATTGAAACAAGGAGACTTACATTGATTCCTTCCCAGGAAACCTCGGTACGGTCATGCTAGGGGAGCGAGGAGAGGGGAGGACGGAGAGGGAGGAGGGGAGGAGGAGAGTGCAGGTATAGCAAAGGCGGGGAGAGAAGAGGGAGGTTTAAAATAGAGAAGAGGAGAAACTGGTCTTAAGGCTTAGTCCTGAATGTTTTTAGTCCTGAACATTAGGGCGTCAGCTGTTTCCTGGTACAGTTTAAAATGTCACATTAATTTTTAAAGGTCATAAAACTTTTTACTTGCAGTTACTTGAGCTACTTTATATTTTAGGAGAATGTGGCACCCTGCATGTCATCGTGATTGACCCAGTTTTCATTTTATACTAAAAACTTAATAATTCATGGGACAGTATTTAATGTTGAGTCTACACAGTGTTTGTGTATCAGAAAGTCGTTCGTTTTGGTCTTAATCAAGAAAATGTTGTGCTGAATTACTTATTTGAAACACATCTCCGGTAAACATAATATCTGAACTGGTGCTTTTGTGTGTTTCTTTGTGGAGAAGCTGACACTAGTGTTAGTCGACTAGTATCAGGGCTGTTATATTCCAACAGAAAAACCCTTTAAAGCAAAACATTAACGAGAATCGCACCAAACACACCGCGGCTTACTGTGACCTCATCACATACGCATTTAGATTTGGCAATAAGATGATTAACTCACCCTGACTGTGAGGACACAGAAGAAAACAACAAACATAGTTTAGTTGTTTCTTCTTTAATCGAGTCAAACTGTAGAAATAGGCCGAAGACTCAGGACGCCATCAGATGTGAAATACAGACAATACGTAGTTGTGTGTGTTAGTGTGTGTGTGTGTGTGTGTCCCTCTCTGTCCATCCACACGGCCCAGAATGTTTAGGTAACCAATGGATACCAACCCTGTTGCCAGGGGCAACAGCAAATCTGATCGGTGACCAAACCCGGACACCATTTATTGTGTGTCCTCATATGCACACACACACACACACACACACACACACACACACACACACACACACACACGCACACAGACAACCATGCATAGTCATCATACTGTATAATAGGCACAAAGGCATCGGGGAACATTTTGGGACCTGCGGTCGCTCCAGAGACTTTAAATACACAACGCTGTCGAAAGAGGATCTTTTATTTTATTAATTTTTTTTGTTCTCATCTTTGAACATCAGGTCTTTTGTCGCAGCGCCCCAAAGAGTTTCTCCACTCGGCACTCAGAGCTCGTTATCATAGTTGTACCGTTCAGAGCCACAGATCGCAGACGGCATGAGAGGTGACACGGAACACAAATGCCCCTAAACATCGTGTCAGAGTAAATGTGTCCTCACGAGGCTGCTGCTGCCGAGGTGGTTAGAAACATGCATGGGCTAATGAAATGTGACCTGAAGGATCCTAAATCCTTAAAACTGTGAGATCATGCTATAATACAGAACCCTTACCGATGTTATGAAGCATTAGTGAACGTAAAGAGGAGACCAGAATCTGAACATTTGAGTCAGACTTCCCTTTAGTGCTTCGCCTTTATTAGTTTATGGAAACGCTCAAATTATTATATTTAATTTTGGACCTTTTAGTCTCTCAATCTACTCTGTTTAATATCCTGCTATAAAGCAAGGAGACTCTTGTCTGTCTCTATTTTCTATCTCTAGTATCTCAACAACAGTTCATCCGTTCTTCTTTACACTTAGCGCGTGTTTTGCTGTGGACTCACGGATGCTTTGTCGAATTTGTTTAATTTGGACACGCGACACGATCGATAATACAGTTTGAATAAGCGCCAGCGAATGGCGCTCCGGTGCCGCGGTGGGGGCGGGGCTTCAGGACTGAGTCGAGCAGACTGGTTGGATGCTGGATATGCTAACGTTAAAACCAAACTCCTCTTCGCTTCCCGGGAGTCAACGAGCAACTAGCAGATCTAGACAATGTTGCAAGCGGCACTTCCTCGGGGCCAAACGATTGGCTATAGAGCTGCGCCACAAACATTCACTGGAAAAGACCGGGAACAGAAAGTGCTTCTGTTGTCCCCGACACACACTAATGGGTTCAAAGCCTTCGTCTGTGGGAAGGGTGTGGCATAAAAATCCAATTTCAGGCACTCAAGTGGATGGCTAAGAATAAAAAGCCTTTAAAAATACGGGCTTTTAAACCAATAAAATGCACTAACCGTACTGGCACACTTGTCTTTCTCTACTTTGTTTTGAAGTTGCTTCACAAGGCCATTTTGCTTGTTGATTGATTTATTGTAGATAACTGAACACTAAAACGTTCTGTAATAGATATGAGTAAGCTGCTAGCGGCACATTTAACCAAGCTAACTGGTCTGTGATACCAAAGATATACAAAAGAGCTCTATTGGACTGCTTGCTCTCTTCTTTCTGATGTCTTGATTCTCTCTTTCTGCAGAAAAAGTGACCAAAGCCAACAGTAATAACAAGTTCATAACAGATATATTGAGTCAACAGTGGGGGGGGGGGGAGTGTTCTGCTTGTATTGTACTCTCTATTGTGTGATTTCAGATGAATTTTTACATAAAAATCCAATCTTGTGCAGTTATAATGGAGTATTGTTCATTCCCATTAGATCATCTAAAATAATAATAAAAATGCTAATGCTACAGTGATAACGTGACCGATGGAAGATGGACAACCGCGTTTAAAAGTGGCAATAAAAGACATGAGTGCAGAGGGCAACCAGTGTACCGGTGGTGGTAGAACATTAAGATGGAGCCCGGCCTCTGTCTTTGTATTTATTCATGCTTTATTCAGCAGCTGCTGGGCTCCGGGACTCCACGAATGAATATGAATGTAGGTCTGACTTGGTTTAAGGCCTTATTGCCCTGATTAACATTTTTCCTCTGGTGTCAAATACAAAGAACGGTTAGCAAATTGAAAACCATTGCCGAGCTGAAACTGGAAGCTGGAATTAATTCTGACTTCCTGCAGGCTCACACTTTTCCCCCTCTGGGGAAGCGTCGATGTAATATTCATGTCAGAGATGTTTATTTCCATGGCAAGTGAATGAGGAATAAGAATAATCCTCCTCTAACAGAGCAGCCGCTGAGACGGCAGAGGGATTTAGCGAAGCCCCGCACAAGTCACCGGTCGCCTTGTTGGGTTTTTTGGTGTCGGATCCACATTAACAAAAGCAGGGAAACATCTGGGGAATCATTCATACAGAGGCAGCGACAAGCAACAGCTGGATCACGACTAGACCTGAGCTGTACTGTTAAAATAACAGTCAGTGACATTTTCTAAAGTGAACAAACACGATGTTAATCACCAACACTCACTGTGTGAATCTCTCACAGCAGACAGACTGAACTGAACTAATTGAATGATGGTTTATTTAATCTCAAAAGCTAATGAACACGCTCAGCAGCGGGTCTGAGACCGATGTAAATGAAGTCTTTTAACAACTAGAATGAATCACTGCCAGATCTGAGGTGTTATAGGATTATTACGCATAAGAGACAGCAATATATTATTTAACGCTTATGAATGTTGTGTAAAATGTTAATGTTCTCGGTGTTTAAACCCTGCAGACAGTCAAACAACTCACTCAAATTATAATAATCTCCTTTTTGCATGGAAGCTCTTCTACTTTCTGTTACATTAACTACGTCCGCTAATGTAATACTAGTACTGAAGATAGGAAAAAAAATAAATGATCTTTTGTTAAAATGAGTCTTAAGATGTAGCACGGTGAGTGTTGAAATATCAGCAGCTGGCCCAGCTCATCAGTCGGTCTTCAGAATTGATCAATGACCCGTTTTGCCCCTTAAATCATTAAGAAAAAGCACATAAAGAATTAAAAACTGTGTGTGGGAGGTTTCAAACATGATTTATAATTGTCAAACGTGTGACGAGTTGGTAATAGTGGTGTCATCTCTGTCCTTGAAATCTCTGTGTGTGTGTGTGTGTGTGTGTGTGTGTGTGTGTGTGTGTGT